TATATTGATTCACTGATATTGATATAATATTTCATATATAAAATATATACATAAATTACTGATTAATTATATAATTATTTTTTTTAAATAAAAATTATGTGCATATAAAATATCATAGTATAGTTTTGATCCTGCACAATAAATATGATTAAAACAAGACAAAAGTAACTAGCAGACCTGTTATGAAGAATACGGTACTGTCCACAGAGAGTGGGCTGTACTTCCTGCGCTCACGTTTACGGTACACCATCACCTCCATCACACCAGCTCCAAACGTCATGTTAGTGGTGTTCAGGGTCAGATGGGAGGAGGAGCCATCACATGTCTCAAAATACTGGCCTGTGAGGGAAACCACAGGATGATGGTCCATTAGAGTGCTTACACTATATGTAAAGTGAATTATTAAAACACTGATATGATTCAGGTCAGTGAATGACTGACACTCACCCATGGTGTGCCACACATACACATAACCTCTACGTCTCCAGTCATTGCTCTGAGGAAAAGGCTTTCCATCAGGGAAAACATTGCACCTCTTCAGATCTGTACACTTTCCAAAGCCATAGTCATCCAACCAGGATGTCCAGTTAAACACGTATCCTGAAGGCACCTGTCCATTGGCTGAAAAATAAGTGAAGGTGTTAGGCACACAGATGAAAAAAAGCATTTCGTCCTTATTTGGGAATAGAAATGCAACTTTTTAAAATACAGGTACATTGTTTAGAGATTACAGGAGTATGAAGCACCTGAGGCCTCCATCATACCGTCGTCACAGTGCTCATCATACACCAGGTTGCCGCTGCTGTCCTCCTTCTGGCATGGTGGAAACTCCAGAGCTGCAGTGAACGAGATGCATGAGCCATTCATTGCTGGGCTGTCGCTCGTGAGGCGCACCCTCGGTGGTTTATCTGTGATGTTCACGAGAGAGCATCGAATGATTAGTGTGTATTAATATAATGTCAATCTCTCTTGCTAACACAAAACAGGGAACATTTAACAACGTAAGAAGGAACATAAGGTTTCGAACCGTTTATTTAATTTCCCCCCCAAAATATTTGAAGCTCTGAAATATATACACAAACTCAAATAGATAGATGAAAAGAGGGCTTACACAATTTTAATATTATAAAAGAAAAAAAAGAAATATTCAAGCCTTTTCCCCCATAATTCCTTAAATCAAAATGTTTCAAACAAAACATGTTGTCTTTAAAATATTGTTTAAATTGGTAGTCTTTTTTCCCCTTCTGTGGCCTTAGTATGAATTTGAATCTTGTCGAACTTTTGTAATATCACTTTAACCAATGAGGTCATGGTCGAGGACGGAGGTGACATCATTTTGGTGGGAAAACAGAATCATAAATAACTAAGGGCTTGTCCAAATACCCACACTGCTGTCTTGGCCACTTGAGAGTGGTATTCAAGGCTAAGCTTGCATGAACAATGTTCTGGAAATAAACTGAGGCTTTTTGCCGAGATCTTGTGAGAGTTTGTGGAAACCTTTCCTGTGTAATTTAAATATTATGAATAATTAGAAATTACATATAATTTGGTAGTAAAACAAAGTGTTACACATTTTATTGATGCAAAGATGAGTATGTTTATTTTGTACAACATTTGCAACTGCTTTTTATCAATTAATTAGAAGCACCACTTTTACTTAATTGTGTCATCTCTGAACAGACATTTAGAAATGTATTTTAAAATGCAAAATATTGAAAATCAAAATAAAGCTCTGTGAACACTTGCATTTTTACAACACTAAGAGTGTCCCATCGGGTAATGATAAGTTCTACACACAATTGTGGTCTTCATGCTGGCTTGAACACTTGGACCAAATACAGGAAATACGTCATGAGACAAGTAGTCAAGTGCAAAGATCTCAAGTGTGGGTATTTGGACAAGCCCTAAGTATTTGCAATCTGATGAATTAATGTGTGGTATTAATTGGTTAGAGTTGCTCTAAAACGTTCCATTATGTTTGACAAAATTATCGAAATTGTTTCTGACAAATTATCTATATTTTGTGTAAGTTACGTAAATCAAACTTTACTGCATAGCAGGAATCTCTTACCAACACTTACCATGTCTGCGATTCAGCTGCTGTTTGAAGGGGGGGTACAGAGATTCGTCCCAAGGGTTCGTGTCCGGTTCCCATCCAGGGATTGGGAATGGAATAGGGAGTTTGTGTTTGTGAGGGAACATGTCACTATAAGCTGCACGAATGACAGGGAACAAAAAAAAAAAAAAACCTGTGAAAGCCGTCTGAAACTGAAATGCACATGGACTAAATGCACATGGATTAGTCATTTTAAATTTCATAAAATATAACAGGTAAAGCTGGGCTTGTTACTTTCTGCTGGGATAAGAAACAGGCATAAACCTAAAAAAAATCAACCCACTCTGAGAAATATTCACAGCAGGAGCGAAAAATGTGACAACTACCGGCAGTTGTTCCCTACAAGAACTCATGAAATGTGCATAATTTACGCACTTAAATATCTTAATTTATTTTGGATTATATGCTTATTGATACTTTTTCCCCCGAGCTAAGATACTGAAAAAGAGTCTAAAATTGTGGACTGTACCATATTCTTACAATCTGGTGATGAACAAACGTATTTTCACAAGACTCTTCGCTACTCTCACGTAACGCGGATTGCCTAATTAGTTTCACGAGACTGCAGCGCGCTTAATCTAACACAAAGTAAAAACATTTCAAGTTAGCCTATGTGTATTTGTTTTATTAGCCTCTCGTCTATCTCGACTTTTTATGAATTTGGAAGTCGGTAACAATTTTATAGCTTACTCTATAAAATAGTTTATTAATGGCACGTTATTATCTTGATATAACAGTCGCTTGTGCAACAACGTCAAAATGTATTTTATTATTTAAAAAATAATAATTGCTGATTAAATATGTAGCAATTATAATTATAAACATTTGGTTCCTACTTACTTTTTTTGCTGTTCGTTACAGGAACGAACAATGCCCAGGCCAGCACAAGCAACATTTCCAAATGCATCGTAACAATTTGTTGGATGAGAATGTAGATATAATTTATCCAAGGGCTTTTTTTCTTGTTTGTCCCCCTATGCCACTCCAGCTGCTAAATCTCATACCCCTCAACCCTCTTCTGCTCTCTCTCCCATCTCCCAGTCACCCGCACGAGCTCTAATTTAATACAGCAAACATGTGACGTTTCTGTAACAAGACTCATCTGATTCTTAATTAGCATCTATGGGCGCGAGCTGGAAGGAGGGCTCGGAGTCTCATGTTGTTACTTTTCCCTTGTATTTCGAAACAGGCAATTTCAAAATCATCGTATTTATCTCCGATTGTGGGCTTTTTATGTAATATCTAAAACAAGTGGTAGCTACACTAGCCTATTTTTTATCCTATATGAGGTATCCTTGAGCTGTCTCAGAATCCTTTTTGAGAAAAGTGAGTTTTTTTGTTGATTATTAAAAGTATCTGTGTATTGTGCATTTCATGTATTTTTGAGAAACACTTATACCATTGTCCTGGTACCGAATACCTTATTAACACAAGGTGCACGATAAAAAAGAGAAAAATATCATGGCTGCAGCATAAAACTAAAACGATCTATGCAGGTGAATAAACATCAAATATCAACTATTATTAATCAATCAGAATTTTAAAGAAGGTCTTTTGAAGTTTACTATTGCCTACGTTACACTATAGGCTATGTATAAACAATATATGGCCTTTTTATTGTTTTATATTTATGACGCACACAATGTTAGTTGAAATTCGTATAACATATGCTGCATATTTATAATCACATAGCCTATATTCAAAGAAATTGGCATTTGCGTGAAAGCACTCTCAGTTGTGTATATAGGCTGCACTCAATTGTTTGTGCTGTCTTCAAATTAAAACTGTGCAAAGCTGTAATAAAAACGTGCCGTCTCATTGCAAACCGTTAAAAACAATTTAAAAATCCGGATGTCATAAAATGTTAAGCCGTGATATGCACAGATCCGCGCGCTTTCAGGTGACAAGTCATTGAGAAACAGCTAGCTGGAGGTAAAAAGGATGAACGATTTAGGGAACATTTGTAAATTGATCCATTTTAAATGAGGACTGAAGGAGTTAGCTAAAATACAGACATTTTAACATTAGAAAAAGAAATTAAGACGGTAGCTAACTGCAATATTGATTAGTCTAATCATAAATGAATGAAATCTCTCTATCAGCTCCTGTTTACCCATAACGCAGACTGCCATCACATGCTTTGATGCGTCTCTCACGAGCTCCGTTTGAAAGTTCCTTCCAGTTTTTAATGTAATCTGGCGTGACTTTCCATGACATTTACGTGACAGCACAGCACTCCTGTCCACCAGAATCGACACTGAAAAGACAGAAGAAAAACACAAAACACTTTAATAAAGAAAATAGCCTGTGTGTTAACTTCTATGCATGCTATTTCTAATTTTGTCCTCTGTTCAAGAACAGTCACATCGTGATGTTTCATTTAGCCACCAGGGGCTCCCCATTCTTCACATGGTTCAGGTGAAGTTCAGAAACGCTCATTTTGAGCAAAATAACCATATAGTCTATGTAATCTTTATAAATTCGGCTCATGCATTTTTTCTTTAACAAAAGCACGATTAAGAATTACGATAATGACTTAGCAAATTGCCTTATTTCAGTCCAAAATATTTTTGTATGCTGTTTACAAGCAAATTGCATAATTTCCGTCAAAAGTAGGCTACTTTTATGCTGTTTACACACAGTAGTAGCCTAATATTTTAGTCATAAACATTCCCACCATTATCTTAGCATTGTGGTAGCCTATATGTTGATCATTTCATAGTTAACACTGTATGCATCCTAAAAAGATACAATAATACAATTGTATCAATGGTATTTTCATTTTTATATTAATATATAATATTTATATTATACTTTTTATATTATTTAAAAATGTTGTTCACTTGTTCCAAACTGAGGAAAGACCGCTGGGTGGCGCTACATAATCTGTTCACCCACCGAAAACAGACGAAGAAGAAACGTCACCGGAGTGACAGGTGAATTATTTTTACACAATTATTCTGCCTCGTGAGCTGATTAACTCTTTATACTTTGTCCGCGTCATTTGTTTAGTATTGTTTATAATTAATTTTAAAGTCATGCTGAACACAAAACGGATTATTTAGTTAATAACAGGGTTTAATTGTTTACTGCTCAAGTGTGTGAATGTCACTTCACATCAGAAACTCTCATTTCAGATTTCAGTGTTGGATATTATTATGTAATTTCAATAACTAATCTGCTTTCTGTCTGATATTATTATCAGGTGTTTGACAGGGATCAGACCGTCATATCCGATCATGAGTGTCCCGTGCTCTGTGAGAACGGTGGCCAGAAGTTTCGCCGGTGGATCAGGACTGTTCAGACCAGCTGTTTGCTGTTCATGTAAAGACACAGTCACACGGTGAGTATCCAGAATCTGGAGCGCTTTCTAGAGGCTCTGGATGTAGTGGTTGTGTTTGAAAACCTAGTGAGCTGGCTACTAAGCAAAAGTTTTGCTTAACTTAAATTTCTCTGAACTGGTTTCAGAAAAATGTCATCAAGGAGACAGACTGACCATCTAGAGATAACTGCTAGCGTTCATAGACAAATGGTGAGTCGTCTTAGATTTCTGTATGAAACCCTTGACCTGTTGACCATAGATTCCTCTGTGACTGCTCATAAATGGTTAACAAATGTTGTAGCCAAGTAGGTGAAAGTTCAGACACTTGTTCAGCCAGTGTGTCATTTGATTTTTGTCATGAGGCTGAATTCAAGATGATGATGCTATCTATCTATCTATCTATCTATCTGTTCATGCATTAGTAGCAGTGTACTCTATAGTGTTATTTCATTAACATCCTGTGCTGATTTTCTTGTCATGCTGTAGATTTTTTACACTAAAGTCAGTAAATGTGTGTACAGTGGTAAAAATGTATAATGGCTCCCATTTGTACATTCACATGGCATAATGCATTGCATTTAAAATGCCGAGAGGCTGAAATGTTATTGTAAATTCTCTACCAAGACATGATGTTGTTTTGTGTGTATCCAGGAGCTTTTCTCTGCACGTGTTAGTGACATTATGAATGAATCTGATACAGTAAAGAGTCTGAGACTGGAGGTACCACATCCTGACTTCAGCTTCCGTGCTGGGCAGTGGTAAGAACTTTGTGAAATATGTATTGAAAGCATCTAATATTGATGACAATACTAATATCTGATTATACTGGATTATACTGATATCCAGTATAATATGATGGGGCTCTGGGGGTTCACAAGACAATAAAAAGTTCCTAGGGAATACTGTTCGTAGATGTTACATTTTCACTTAATAATGCATAGATGCAAACTCCTCACCTTTAGGTGACAACTCACTTTTTTTAGATCAAAATAAGTCACCTATGAGATTTGCTTAGATCTAATGAGAAAGTGTTTTATGGGGGGAGGGGGGGTCTTACAAGGGTACTTGTGATCTTACAAGGGTAAATAAAGAACTGGGGCCGGTTGCAGACTGGTCATAACTTTTTATATTTAGTTTTGAAAAGGTAGACTGGTCTTATCTGTATTGGAAAAGTAAGACTGATAACCACTTGGCAACTGCTAGTAAGTGTTGTATACTATTTTCTTTACTCTTTACTAAACTGTCTAAAAAGGGGTAATATTTTATGTATTTGAGGTCTGAGATGTGGGAACAGTGAAGAGAGAGAGGGCAAACATTTAGCATTTTAGGTCGAATCAGCCAACATTGTCTTAAATAGCCTGCATAGCACTTCATCTTTTATATCATGGGATTTTGACCAAATATATTCAATCTTGATTTTTGTAAAATGTTGCAACAAGGTGTTTTTTGTTTTGTGTGTGAAAAATTACAGTTTATAAGGTAATAAAAAATATTTTTAAAAATACCTTAAAGTAACTACAATTGAGCATGTAAAACAACTATCTTAAAAAAAAAATTCCATGTGGAGCATGCCCCCGGATCTCACCTTTTTTCCCCCTTACCTGTTTGCATCTCTGATAATGACTAATAGTTGGGAAGACATGCAATTTGCAAAATGGACACGAGATGGCGCTTTCCTCTCAGACAAAATTTTCACTTCAGCGTGAGATCTGTTATCAGCAAACCATGCAAAATAATAAAAATGTATTCTTACATCTACCTCTCCTCACACTTTCTCTCTCACTTCTGCTCTCGTTCCCATTGTGCCTTATTGCATTTGTTGTGAATGTGTGTGAGTTTTGAGAGAGTCTGAGTGAGGTGAAAAAGTCAGGCGATGATTTATGCAGATGTATGCACAGAAACTCCTCCAAACCATATGATGTTGTGTTCCTGCTAAAGAACATGAGGAACATGAGTCAGGGAGAGCAGAGCGAGTGGGAGTGTGTGTGTGTGTGTGTGTGTGTGTTTATGTTTATGTTTATGTTTCCCGACATATGTGCTTATCACTTATTAATGCTCTGTGTACACATATGGTGACTCTCAAAGCGTATGTGTTGCTTTACTTTATTTTAATGAAGTATTATTGACATACGTAATACTGGACACATGGGTTTAGTTGTGCTGGCATGTTACTGTGTGGGAAGAATCTGATTCTGTCGACTTTCTAAAAGTACTTTATGTAGTTGTGTTGTTAGTTTTGAGTGTGTTAGATTTGAGTCATTAACATGTGGAGTCAATGCATAAGGTAAGCAGTTAAGTTCATATAATATATGCCAGCAGTGTTTCATATATTACATTATATAATATTTGAATCGCAACATTTTTCACAGGGTGGATTTCTTCATCCCAGGTGTGGATACAGTGGGCGGCTTCTCTATTTGCTCGAGTCCTGGTCTGCTGCAGAGAGAGGGAGTGATTGAACTGGCCGTCAAATACACACGCCATCCTCCAGCACACTGGATTCACACCAAAGTGAGTGAATGAATTAAAAAGTATATATACACTACTATTCAAAGGTTTGGGGCTGGAAAGGATTTTTAATGTTTTTGAAAGAAGTCTCTTATGCTTATCAAGGTTGCATTTATTTGATCAAAAAAAAATTAAAACTGGAATATTGTGAAGTGTTACTACAATTTTAAGTGTCTGTTTTCTATTTGAAATGTATTTTATTCCTGTAACGGCAAAGCTGAATTTTCAGCAACCATTACTGTGACATCAGTGTCACATGATGCTTCAGAAATAAGCGCATTTGGTGCTCAAGAAACATTTCTTATTATTATAAATGCTGCTGCGCTGATGCACTCCTTAATATCAGTGTGGAAACCATGATACTTTTTTTTTTTAGGATTCCTTGACGAATAGAAAGTTCCGAAGAACAGCATTTATTTGATATAGAAATCTTTTGTATCATTATAAATGGTTACTAGGGCTGTGCGATATTGAAGAAAAATGCGATATGCGATAACTCATTAAATAATGCGATAGTCGATATGCGATACGATAATGCTTAAAGTGCCTCATGCTCAGATGAAACAGTTTTACTCAGCTGTTACTGAGTCAGTTCTGTGAACTTCTATAACTATTCTGTGTCATATATATACTGTATATATATATATGGTTATTTGTATGTATCAAGAGCTCCTGTAAAACCACAACAAATTCCTTGTGTTTGCACACACTTAAGTGGTGAATAAAGCTCATTCTGATTCTGATTCTAATAAGAAAGCACCCCTACAACAACTTCTGAAAGTGAGCGATAGTGTTTTACTCGAGCATTACATAAAAATGTCATTTTAACATTAGTGTAATCATTTTAACATGAGTTTAGGAACTGCATAATAAAAAGGAAAAATAAAAACTGCTTAGTATTTACTCTTTGAATTCAATATGCACTGATTCTTATTTAAGCTACAAAAGTTATTTAGGTAAGAGCAGTGAGTGATTTTCTCTTTGTCTTTTGTTCATGGCCCCAAATATTGCAAGCTGTAGCGATATGCATATTGCGATATGTACATTTGCGATATTTCGATAATTTCGATAT